CTCCAGGCAGATGGGCGAATACTCCATTTCATGGCTCCAAAGACCTAGAGAAGAAAAGGGTGTCTCCTAGGCTCCTGAGTCCACAGCCCCTCCTTCAACCTTCAAACCTCTCAGGGACACCTGACAGACTGACTACTGAGAAAACCAGGTGCTGAGAATTCAGCACGTGGTAGCTGGTTGTTCTGGAGACAGTGATGGCTTAGGGGAGAGCAATCCCATCCTTGGGTGTTTTTGGCTACTCCAGCCCCATTCAAAGGACATCTCAGATGTGAGCTGAGGGAGGTGGCTAGGGAGGAAGCAGGACACTGGACAGACAGAAGGCAGGCACCAGACCCTGCCCTTGGGTAAAGGGAGGGAGGGAGCATGACCTCCAGCTAGTCTCCACCCCTCAGTGCTGCTGGGAGAAACCCCTGTAAAATTTAGGGTTGGAGTTTCATTTCTCCTCAACAGAATGTTGAGGGAGAATGAGCTTTGAAAGACTGAGGTTTATGTCCCAAGTGGGTGGCCTTAGAAAAATCTTCCTAATCTTAAATAATGAAGAAAATGTCACCTGCAAAACTTTGAGAAGAGCCAGTATTGGGATGGTACCCCAAGTGGCTGAGTTAAATCAGCAAATTAACATTTTCCAGTGGCCACACACCCATAATCCTAGCTATGGGGGAGGGGGGGCTGTGACCTGATTATGGAGATTTGAAGGCAGCCTGGAAAGAAAAGTCCTTGAGACAGTTCTCTCCAATTAACTAGCAAAATGCTAGCAGCAGAGGTGTGGCCCACATGGTAGAACACAAGCTTTGAGCAAAAAAGCTAAACAAGAGCATAAGGTTCTGAGTTCAAGTGCTCGTTAGCAACAGGTACACAAAAAAGAAAGCAAAATATAAAATATAGGTTTCATGTTTTCTTTGTTTTTGAGATATAAGATATACTAATGAAATAATTAGAGAACTTAAAATGGTTTATTGTTATTATAAAGGTGATGAACAGAGGGAATACAGTTACATAAGCCACCCCTTCCCTCACTCTGAGAATTTTTATGTAATAGAACTTTTTTTGCATGTGTATGCTGATGCTGGGGCTTGAACTCAGGGACTAGGTGCTGTCCTTGAACTTTTTTGCTAATACTCTACACTTGAGCCACAACTCAACTTTCAGCTTTTTTTTTGGGGGGGGGGGAGGAACATTAATTGGCAATAAAAGTCTCATGGACTTTTTGGCCATTCCTCTCCACCCTGCAAGGTAAGGGTAGCAGTTTGGTAAATAAACTTCTCTTCCTGTTGGAAAAGAAGAAAAAGAAAAGCTTCACAGACTATTCTGCTCAGGCTGGCCTCAAACCTTGATCCTCCAATCTCAGCCACCTAAATAGCTAGGATTACAGGCTTGATCCTCCAATCTCAGCCACCTAAGTAGCTAGGATTACAGGCGTGAGCCATCAGTGCCCAGCTCTAATAGAAATTTTTATGAGCTAGTTGAGATATTTCACATTTAATTTTGGTATCTCCTCACAGAACACAACTAAATTTGGCCCAGTTGTAATTGAGTACTGAAGGGCAGCAAGCAGCTAGTGAGAAATATAATCAGCTGCCCACTAGCCAGCAGAGAGCTAAAAGGTCTGGATATAGTCAAAGGAAATGCCTAGGCTGAGTTTAAGACATAAGAACTCAGCTGGGTAACCCTGGCTTACACCTTTAACCTTAGCTACTCAGAAGGCTGAGATCTGAGGATTGCCGTTCGAAGTCATCTAAAGAATAAAAACTCTGTGAGATTCTTATCTCCAATTAACTGACAAAAAGTCCAAACTGGAGCTAGAGCCCAAGGGATAGAGTGTGCTAAGGGACAGCGCCAAGGTTCTGAGTTCAAGCCCCAGTACCAGAACAGCAACAACAGCAAACAGCCACAAGACCTCCAAGTCATCAATAACGTTTTCTTCAATCCTTCCTTGCCAGGGTTGGAGAGAGGGAAAAAAAAATGAAGGCAAATTACCAAGAAAATAGTTTATTTTTCTTTCTATCCATAGAAAATTGAAGTAATAGACAATCACACTTGCCTCTCTTGACAGGAACTGTACTATGTGTACAAATAAAAATCCCCAAACACCCTGGCTTTGAACCAGGGCTTAAACAGGATGGAAGAAGATTGCAGATTCCAAGCGGGGACAGCCCCAGTGGATGAGAACTGGGGGGGGGGGTTCTTGGTGATCTGGGGAGCCCCCTGGTTTCACAGGCTTTTGAGCCAACCATGCATTCAGATCTGAGCTAGTAACCTGGGCATAAAGGACAGAGGTGACAGCTTGAAGAAAAAGCTCAGGAAACAGATGGAAACTGAAGGAATCAGGATGGTGAAGTGATGAAACACCCTCTGTTCTTGACACCTCTTACTGGTGTCAAAGTAAGAAAAGACTGGAGATTTTAAAAACAACCAACTCTGGAATGCAATTCAAAGACAAAACAAACAAAACCAGACAGGCACTTGCCAGAGATCCTTAAGAGAGAAAAAAAAAGTCCAAAACTTTCCAGAAGTTTTTAAGATCAGTCCTGCTAGAAATGGAAATGCGCTTGGTAACTAGGTGGTTCTATCCAGGCTGAGACCACTCCATGTGCTAAAATGACACTGCAAAGGGCAAGCATAAGATGGCATTTGCCAATTCCACTTGCTGCCAGGGGAAGAGAACGGGTCCCAGTGGTATAGACAGAGTTCTGTGGGAGCAGAAGAAGGAGAAAACTCTAAACTCGCACCTCCTTTTTGGCCTTCAGGCTGAAAGAGTTTATCATCCCAGAGGAAGAACAAAAGCAAGTTGCAAATGACAACATTTTTACCTGAAATGAGTAGAGGCCAGGAAAAATCAAGGAAAGGAAATTAAGGTACTCAAGTTCCAAATTTACAAACCTATTTCTCTTCATTTTCTTTTCCACGTTGCAATAAGTTAGAAAAAAAAGTGCAGCACTAATAACTTCTAACATTCTTCACAGGGCTGGCCACGGTCAAGGGCATAGTTACTAGACAGGAAAGGGTGTGGTGGTACACATTACACCTGTAATCCCAACTATGTGGGAGGTTCAGGAAAGACTATGTCTGACTATAAATCTACAAGTAAACACACTGAATGATTAAAACAGATAGATATAGATATAGTTGTATCTATATAGTTATATGCATACATACTGGGACATGATCATTTACATAGGATTCTAGACATTCACTCACTGAGACCAAGGAGGATATGCATAGGAGTAGTTGACAAAAGCTCCTATGTGCATATGATCATATAAAATAATAGTCTATTAAATGAACTCCAAGAAAAGGAAAGAAGAGATATTTTGTTGCTGTTTGTGTTTGTTTGTTTGTATTTGTTAGGGTAAGGGAGGGCACATACAAAGGTAGAACAAGGGTGAACAAATATTAACAGTGAACTGGATATCTTTTTTTTTTGTCGGTTGCGGGGTTTGAACTCTGGGCCTGGGTGCTGTCAGCTCAAGGCAAGCGCTCTACCACTTGAGCTACAGCGCCACTTCCGATTTTCTGGTGGTTTATTGGAGATAGGAGTCTCACGGTCTCTCCTGCCCGGGCTGGCTTTGAACCTCGATCCTCAGATCTCAGCCTCCTGAGTAGCTAGGATTACAGGCGTGAGCCACCAGCGCCCGGCTGAACTGGATATCTTGTAGGTGGGGACGGAAGTGGAGATAGGAGGGAAAAACCACCAGAGAGCGACAGAAGGGGAGACATAGTTCAAAAAGCATTGCATTCATTACTCATGACCTGATTCATGTAACTTTAACTCCTCTGTATATCAACTCTACAATAACATTTTTAATAACGTTTTTTTAAGAGAGAACAAAAAGCTGTGTCTGTAAAACAAACTAAAAACAAAAGGACTTGGGAGTGTGCTCAAGCCGCAGAGTGCTTGATGAGCAAGTATAAGGCCTGGAGACCCGTCCCCAGCATTGGCTCTCTGGCACTTGGCAGAGCGGTGAAGTCTTTGGAAAACGTACATTTTGAGGGAGTCATTCCTTTCTTTTCCCTTTCCTTTCCTTTATTTCTTTTGTGCCAGTTCTGGGGTTTGAACTCAGGACCTGAGTGCTGTCCCTGAGCTTTTTTGCTCAAGATTATTAGTGCTCTACCACTTCAGCCACAGCTCCAATTCTGGCTTTTTTGATTTGGAGATAAGAATCTCAGAGCCGTGTTGTATGAAAGGAGAGAAGGTTAGCACTTCTTGACAAGGATGGAAGAGGCCCTTGGGCCTGACAACACGCTACGGTTAAGGTATTGCCACCTACTTCGTGGCATCTAACCATCGTTTTTTCAATTGTTTCTAACGCATTTATAAGATGATTTCTATGTTGCTTTGTATGTCCCTCCACCACGGTATAACCCCTGCTTTCACTATATTTTATGTCGGTATAATTTGTGGAGGGGAAGGGCTAAAACAAATCGTTTAACTAGGAATACAGGTGGACCCATTGCAACAATGAGATGTACAAGTCGTTATGTCGAAAAATGAACTTTACAACTTTGGTGGGGGTGGGGGGGCAGGATGGGAAGGGGAAACAGAGGAGACAACAATGCTTGATAAGAAATGTACTCATTATCTTGCCCATGTAATTATAACTCCTCTGTATGGTAGTCTCACAATAAAAAAAAAAAAAAAGAATCTCAGAGACATCCCTGTCCAGGCTGATTTCAAACCACAATCCTCAGATCTCATCCTCCTGCGTAGCTAGGATTATCAGGTATGAGCCACTAGCTCATGATTGGTGGGTTCAGATTCAAGTAACCGTTTCATGCAAGTTTAATGTAAGTTTATTTCTTCTCTAAAAGCCAAATAATCCTTTTTGTGTGATAGTTCTTGGGCATGAACTCAAGGATTGAGCATTGTCCCTTTCACTTATGGCTAGCATTCTGCCACCCTGCCACAGCTCCACTTCTGGCTTTTAGTGGTTAATTGGAGTTAAGAGTCTCACAGACTTTCCTGTTAGGGCTGGCTTTGAACCAGAATCCTCAGATAAGCCACCAGTGCCAGGCTAAATCTAATTTTTAATCTGGCCTTAAAAATATACCTCAGTATCCAATGACTTAAAACCATTTCTGAGACCTAAGAGAAATAAGTGGTTTTTTTTAAAATTAAGGAATGTTAAATGTTTGTGTATTGTTTACCAGCCATCCATCAGTACTGTACAGCCTTCTTGTAATCATTTAGTTACTAGCTTAAGAGTTTGCAGAAATTCAATATATCCCGACAAGTTTATAGGAGTCAAGAGAAGGTTAAACGCAGGAAATAAATAGCAATATAAACCACAGAAAGCCACCACTTGCTTTGGAGTTTGAAGTGTTCTTGCTGACTTCTTGCTTGATCCAGAACTCCCGGTCAGCCCCAACTCCTGCTCAGCTGCAGATAGAGACCCTCAGCAGCACAGCGCTGCAATTCCACATGCAGGTTAGACGGCAAGATAATGGGCTGTAGGCAAGCCAGAGAAGAGCAAGGCAAGGATGATCCCAGAAAAGACTCAGCACAGCACAACACAGTGAACTCCAAGAGCAGAGCCTTCAAGGTGCAATCCTGTTCTTGCTGTGTCTGTAGAACTGGGTGCAGCAGAGTTGAGAGCTATCTCAACTGGAGACTTAGGAAGATGTCACATAGACCATTCTTCTGCAGTAGGCTTCCAGAAAATTCTCCTTGAAGCAGGGAGAGCCAGTGAGCCCATGCATCATTAGCTACCACGGAGTTCAGCTTGGTGAAGGCACTGGTCACGGAGGAGGGCTCCACCTATAGATCCTTCTGTGGTTTCACAGTGCTTGCGTTGTTCTGGCATTCTAACACCATGCCAGAGCATGGTGGACTCTGGCTGAGAACTCACTGTCTTGCATCTTCATCAGGAGCCCTTTCGCTCTGAGAAAACCAGCAAAGCTTCTCCAAGTCCACCGAGCAGGAGGCTGCAAAGAAGAGCAGGAGGTCAGTTCTCCATGCCCTTGAGACCACTCAAGCTGTCTGGCACCCACATACAACAGGACATACAGCTGATCTCAGTCATGAACATGCTCACAACCAGCCCAGTCTGCCCTGGTACCAGGCGAAACCCAGAAGCCATCTGGGGGAGATCCCGGGCCAGAAGACTGGCTTCAAACCTTTCTCCAGGGAGGAAGGTGGTTCGTCTGCCTATCCTGACCAGATGAAGCTCTGGAGACTCAGGGCAGGAGGACGCCCGGGAGTCTGGCTTCCCACAGGCCCCTGGGGTGACTGTCACTAAGCAGGGTTGATAGGTATGAAATTGCGTAGTGATTCATAACCTTGCTAATTGCTAAGGTGACAACTCTGAACTTTGCTGTTTAACTTACACTAATAGTTCAAGGTGAACAGACAAACGGGGAATCATGAATTTCCTGCCAGCACAGAAAGAAATCAGGTATGTGGTTGAAAATGAAGTAGTGGAGAAGTGGAGAGAATGAAGGGGGAAAAGAAGCATTAGATATTTTAACATGCCTAAGATTTAATGCATCCAAAGGTCTTTCCATTTTCTAGTATGAACTGCTCAGTAGACAGTCTGGTGTCTGGGCACTGGGGTGGGCTGGACCATCACTGAGGGATTATGACAGTAGGCTCCTAAGGGTGAAAGGTTCTTTTTTCAAAGAAGTCAACAACCCTTTCAACTAGACCCTTTCCCACCCCCGCTTCCTTTCCAGGTACCCACCCAACGCCCAGTTCTATTTGCTCTTATACCTGGACCATACATTTGGATCATAGAGCCTTTGTATTTCTAGAACACAGACAGGGTGTCAAACAAACACACACAGGCTTGTTCGCATTTCAATCCCAGTTGAAAATGTCACCCTGCCATATAGGTAACCGGTGTCATTACCCACTAAAGAATGAATTGACAATGTGTGTGAATATTTTTTAAAAAATCAACTTTAGAATCAGGAAGACCTGAGTTCAAGTTCTGGGGTCAGACATTTATTGGTTATTTGAACTTCTATGTGTTATTGGGAGCTGACAGCATCTAACCATCTCTAAGGCTTACAAATAATCCAAAGCCAACCACCCATGTGTGTGGCCTATAGTGTATAATCTATCAAATGCAAGGCTCTCCTTACCAACTGCATTCCCAGAGCAATCCGAACTCACTGGCCTTCATGGCAGGTTGGCTACTCACCCTCTGCCTCTTCCTATAAGAGTCATCAGGCTGGATTTGGGCACTGGCCTGAGACAATGTTCTTTTTCCCACTGACCAAGTAGTTACCTCTTCCTTACAGCTTTGCCTGTACGTCTGAATTATGCCTTCTGGGGTGCAAGAAAACAAACCTGCTCCATCATCACCCTAGAGACTGAGAAAATTCCCTTAGCCAACATGATCTCATTTCTGGGTGTGGGCTAATGAGTATTGGTGAAGGAGCTAGAGCCTGAGGGAGGGACATGAGGGATTCCTCCACCAAGCTAACAACGGTGATGGAAAGGAAGGGAGTGGTGAAAGAAATGAACACTGAACATCTCAAAATCCAATTAGGCATGTACTCTCCTCTCTCCTATAGAAACCATATTATAAATCTCGAGAAGAAGCCGGGGGCTGGTGGCTCTGTAATCCTAGCTTCTCAGGAGGCTGAGATCTGAAGATCGCGGTTCAAAGCCAGCCTGGGCAGGAAAGTCCATGAGACTCTTTCTCCAATAAACCACCAGAAAACCAGAAGTGGTGCTATGGCTCAAGTGATAGAGCATTTGCCTTGAGCTCAAGAGCTGAGGGACAACGCCCAGGCCCAGAGTTCAAGCCCCACAACTGACAAAAAAAAAATCTCAAGAAGAATTGATCATCCTATCTATCTACTTCAAAATGACGTGGGTGGAAGCAGTATCTAAGTGTACTAAGTACACTGGAGAGCTTCCTAATCTGTAGTCATCATGTATAGGATTGTTTTGGGAAGCTACTGTAAAAAGTTCCAAATCTTGAAATACAACCTTTGTATGAAATTGGGACCTCCTGTCCCTTTGTTCAGGACCCTAGAAGTTTAGTAGCTCAGTTGTCACTTCAGTTTAAAGAAGAGATACGAAATCCAGAACTTTGTCTTCAAAGTCTCTCCTCAAAAGATCTGTTCTGCCAAGTGCCAGTGGCTCACACCTATAATCCTAGCTACTCAAGAGGCTGAGATCTGAGGTTCATGGTTCAAAGCCAGCCCAGGCAACAAATTCCATGAGACTCTTATCTCTAATTAACCACCAGAAAACTGAAGTGGCGCTGTGACTCATAGTGGTAGAGCACCTTGAGCTGAAGAGCTCAGAGACAGCACCCTGGCCCAGAGTTCAGGCCCCACAACTGACAAAAAACAAAACAAAACACAAAACAAAAAAACAAAAACCCTGTTCTCTCCTTTGGAGATTACTGCTCCCTAATTCGCCAATGTTGCTTACAGAACAGACATGTCCTCTTAAGTCCCTGTGCAGAGCACAAGGTCAATGTGACCCCATACTAAGGCACATGGCTCTGTTCTGAAAACATTTATTTCTGCAAATATAAAGGGGGCTCAGCAGTTTTGTACATTTCCAACTAATCTGCCTTCACAGAGGGAAGTCCTCTGCCACCTGCTATTTCAGTGTCAGAAGAAGGATAGTGGTAACAATCTTACAATCATCTTTAGCAGAGTCACTTTAAGAGACACCCAAGGAACTTAGGGATGGCTAAAATGAAAACAGACCTTGCTTCATTGGACGTGGGGAGAGCCAGGAGGTGAACTTTGATGTTGTTTTCTAAACAGCAGGAGAAACTGACATGGAGTCCAGAAATCTTAATGGCATTACAAAGATTTAAGTCAGAGCTTGACTAAACTGTGTGCACATTTTTATAATCCCCAACATTCCTGACATGAACACACTTCATGTAGCTAAGACATAAATATTGAATGCAGAGCATCTAGGCTGGAAATAACCCATCACAACCTTCTCCTCTCTAGAGTTATTCCAGCACCTCTCCAGCCCCTTTATCTTCTATGAGGGATCAAAGGCCTCACTTCAGTCTTATATCTGTCATTATGGTTACTTGATTTACTATTAATATTATTTGTGTTGGACCTGGGGATTGAACTCAGGTCTGGGCAATGTCCTTGGGCATTTTTGCTCAAGACTAGTGCTCTACCACTTGAGCCACAGCTCCACTTCTGGCTTTTTAGTGGTTAATTGGATAGAAGACTCTCACAGACTTCTCTGCTCAGGCTGGCTTTGAATTGGGATCCTCAGATCTCATACTTCTGAGTAGCTAGGATTAAGCCACCAGCACCCAGCTCATTTGATTAATTCTTTTTGAATCTAACAGACATGATAGAGACTAGATCCTTTTCCTGGGTATAGACCCAGAACCTACTGTGGAACCCAATAAATATTTACATAGTAGATGACTGAATTGTTAAATGTGTTCCCTCTCTCAAACCCATATTTAAACCACTTTGCTCTTTTTTCCTCTTTATCACCAAAATGTATCTGCCCCATGTCCTATATACTTATTGAGCGACAACTCAGAGTCTGATTAATTATGACAAAACTTTAAAGGTCATGAGCAAAAAGGCCAGGCTTTTAAAAAAGGAATTTTCAACTGGGTGGTAGTGATTCACGCCTGTAATCCTAGCCACTCAGGAGGCAGAGATCTGAGTATCACGGTTCAAAATCAGCTTAGGCACAAACATCTGTGAGATTCTTATCTCCAATTAACCAGGGAGAAAAAATAGCCAGAAATGGAGGTGTGGCTCAAGTCATAGAGTGCAAGTGAAAAAGAGAATACAAGACTCCTAAGTTCAAGCCCCAATATTGGCACACAAAGGGAGGGAGGGAAG